AGTAGGAATCACAATCATGGGAAAGACTGCTGACCTGACAGTTGTGCAGAAAACCATCATTGACACCCTCCATAAGGAGGGAAAGCCTCGAAAGGTAATTGCAAAAGAAGTTGGATGTTCCCAAAGTGCTGTATCGAAGCATATTAATAGAAAGTTATGTGAAAGGGAAAAGTGTGGGAGAAAAAGGTGCACAAGCACCAGGGATGACCGCAGCCTGGAGAGGATTGTCAGGAAAAGGCCAATCAAAAGTGTTGGGGACTTTCACAAGGAGTGGACTGAGGCTGGAGACAGTGCATTAAGAGCCACCACACACAGACGGATCCTGGACATGGGCTTCAAATGCTGTATTCCTCTTGTCAAGCCGCTCCTGAACAACAAACAACGTCAGAAGCGTCTTACCTGGGCTAAAGAAAAACAGACCTGGTCTGTTGCTCAGTGGTCCAAAGTCCTCTTTTCTGATGAGAGCAACATTTGCATCTCATTTGGAAACCAAGGACCCAGAGTATGGAGGAAGAATGGAGAGGCTACCAGGAGATTTTGGAGCACTTCATGCTTCCTTCCGCAGACGAGCTTTACGGGGATGCTGACTTTATTTTTTCAGCAGGACTTGGCACCTGCCCACACTGCCAAAAGCACAAAATCCTGGTTCAATGACCATGGGATTACTGTGCTTGATTGGCCAGCAAGCTCACCTGACCTGAACCCCATAGAGAATCTATGGGGCATTGCCAAGAGAAAGATGAGATACATGAGACCGAACAATGCAGAAGAGCTGAAGGCCGCTATTGAAGCATCCTGGTCTTCCATAACACATCAGCAGTGCCGCAGGCTGATAGCTTCCATACCACGCCGCATTGAGGCAGTAATTGCTGCAAAAGGGGCCCAAACCAAGTACTGAGTTCAGAGGTCCGATATTGTTCTATGTACCTTCCTTGTTTTATTGATTGCATGTAATATTCTAATTTTCTGAGATTTGTGAGTGGATTTGGGGTTTTCATGAGCTGTAAGCCATAATCATCACAATTATGGCAAATCACGGTTTGAACTATCTTACTTTGCATGTAATGACTCTATCTCATATATTAGTTTCACCTTTTAAGTTGCATTACTGAAATAAATGAACTTTTGCACGATATTCAAATTTTTCGAGTTTCACCTGTATGTGTTTATTCAGTGGAATAGGAGGGTTTGCCACTTTGTGCTAGTTGTTTGTTTGTTTATTTATTTATTTGCGCTCACTACACTTTTTTTGGCAAAATTATAAAAGGACATGCTACATTTGTCTTCCTTCAAAGTCTGTCAAAACATGCATTATGTACAAAGTTGCAATTTTAACCACTTGTTCTCCAGAGGATTTACCCCCCTTCCTGAAAAGGCCGTTTTTTGCAATACGGCGCTGTGTTACTTTAACTGATAATTGTGCGGTCATACAACGCTGCACTTAAATGAAATTTATGTCCTTTTTTTCCCCACAAATGGAGCTTTCTTTCAGTGGTATTGATCACCTCTTTGGTTTTTATTTTTTGTGCTATAAACAAAAAAATACCGAAAATTTTGAAAAAATCAATATTTTTGACTTTGTGCTATAAAACATATCCAGTAAAAAAATTTAAAAAATCTAATTCGTCGTCATAAATTTAGGCCAGAATGTATTCTTCTACATGTCTTTGCTAAAAAAAAATCCCAATATGTGTAAATTATTTGGTTTATGCGAAAGTTATAGCGTCTACAAATGGCGGTATATATACTGGAATTTTTTTTTTTATACTATTAATGGCAGCGATCAGCGACCTATAGCGGGACTGTGGCGGGTATTCTGACCATGGGGGAGACCTGACTAACTGTCACTGACATCCCCAGTGACCCTAATGCAGTGATCAGTGCTAATAAAAAGCACTGACACTGTACTAATGACACTGGGAAGGAAGGGGTTAACATCTTACATACAGACCTCTCCCCCGTCAGTGTTCCTCGGCAATTGCCGGGTGCCGGCGGGCAATCTCCAGATGGGACCCGGTGGTCAACAGCTGTAGCCGCCAATGGCGGTGCAGGTAGGGCGTGCAAGCGCTGTGCATGCCCCCCCTACCCGGAAATACAAAATCATGTATATATATATACATGATTTTGCGCAGCCCTGCTACCCTGTAGCAGTAGTTCTGCTATAGGATGGTCGGGAAGCTATTAATATGGCTGGATTTTATTTTACCTTTCCTTAGCTGCCTTGAGAAGCACCAAGTACACAGCAAACCAAGTGGACATATATGTAAACAGGTGTATGGATGTAACTTTAACCATAGTACATCCAATTGCTAATTGCTATGAGTTTTATGGAATTCAGGCTAGGTTCACACTAGCCCGCATGCTGCAAATCCCGCACCCACCTGCAGCCACATCACATTTCTCTTGAGAGATGCACGGGGTTGCCATTTATTCTGAATGGCACCCCCACACATCTCATGTCACAGCGTGATCACAGATGTGGGAACCGCATGGAAGCCACATGGTCAAAAAGACTATGCGGTTTCCCTGCAGATGTGTTTTGGAAAAGGTGCATGCACTTTTTCCTTGCATGAAAGGCAGGATCAGCAGCCCATTCAAATGAATGGGCTACCATGAAAGTGCAAACGCAGGCCACACTAGTGTGGCCCAGGGGTCACAGGGCTGTTTCAGTGAAGGGAGGCAAACAACAAAAAAGTTTTTTTAGGAGAAATTCAGGTTTGTGGGTTAGCCCAGTCTCTAAAAAAGTAAACATACTTTTCTACCTGTCCCAAAGCTGTATGGAGTAGACTCAGTTAATTAGCCTGCCAAGGATGGAAAGTGTAATCATTTCAGGTCAGTGAGTAAATAGCGTATGTCCTGCTGAGCAGTTTTAGATTACTTTACATATATCTTTGTACTTTTCCAGGTCAATACAGGCAATCTTTGTGTCAGTAGGAAACACACTGGGATATCAGATGTATAGTAAGGGACATCTTAAGTCCAGTCAGGGTTTGCTTATTTATTCTGAAGTGTGTCATTAAGGTTTGAATAAAGCACAGACCTACAATGTACCATCCTCAATGCTATAAATGGAGAGAATGAAGATTTTGGAAAGCATACACAAGAATGCAAGTTAAGTCAAAGTGTTCTCTTTACTGTTAGTTCAAACATATAATGTATTTATTGTTAAATTGTTGTATTATTTAATTACATATTATCTAATTTTTGTTCACTTTATTTGTGTTGAAATGAGTGAAAGTCTGTTGCCTGTTGTTAGTCCTGACTTAGTCAACCTAAAATATTATGCCTGTCTGCCAACATCCCTGACCACTGAACCGCATAACCATGTTATACCACCTACCTTGAGCCCTCTCACTTGTCATTAGAGGTAAAAAACCCTGGAGATGTGACATAGGAGTGTTTTGAAACACAGTCTAAAGTTGGCCCATTAGTAAAGACCATGCAATCTTTAGCTGAGAACCCACACAATAATGGCTCAGCAGATCTCATTGCTCCTTTTTGTAGCTGGAAGAATATGCACAAAATTGCCAAAACTTACTAACAATATTGTCAGTACTTTTCTAATTCAGAGAGAAGGGCATGACATTGTTGATGTGGCAGCATACCCACCTGACTGGTCTTTTGCCACTGGCTATGCTGAAAGAACCACATACTTTTTGCCTTGTCAATGTGTTTCATAATGTAGTCATTGGGTTGATTTACTAAAGGCAAATAGGCTGTGCACAGAAAGTGCAGTTGCTCTAGATCTGAGGGGAACATGCAAGGAAAATTTACAAAAAGCATTTTTGCTTGCACATGGTTGGATGAAAAAAATCAGCAGTGCTTTGCCTCATTTCAGAGTTTCCCGTCAAATATAAAGCAACTGCACTTGCGGTGCATTTGCAGCGCACAGCCTATTTGCCTTTAGCAAATCAACCCCATTGACTGCTTAAAACAACTTACTAGAGGAAGTTGAGTTTGCAGGGTAGAATTCTACTGCTAAAAAAAAAAAATAGAAAACTTCAGTCAATTTATAATTAGCTTTTTAACCACCCTTTTGAGATATAGAACTTTGTTTTGGTAATATTTAATAACTGCTGTTTTTTTTTTTACTAAAAAACATTTTTTCTTGAAAATAAATAATCTTTCTTCATAAATTTAGTCCAAAAGGAATTCTGCTACATTTCTATGGTGAAAAAATACAAGTAGTGTATATTGTTTAGTCTGTGTGAAAGTTAGAGCATCTACAAACCATGTTATATACCAGGGTTCCTCAAACTACGGCCCGCGGGCCACATGCGGCCCGCCGAGGCCATTTATCTGGCCCGCCGGCAGGGGCGTATTTTCCACGAGGAAAGGACACTAAGTACAGGGGCGGGCAGGGGGCTGCTATACCTTACCTGGCTCCGGTCCCAGTCCCATGACGATCCAGTCCAGGAAGCACTGCTCCTTCATTCACTCCGGCCACTCCCTCACTCCTGCCGCTCGGCTCTGCCTCCTCACCGGTGATGGGGCGCCAGAACTGTAGCTCAGGAAAGGCACACAGGCGGCCAATCACCTGCGAGGAGGCGGAGCCGAGCGGCCCCACGAACATCGAGTGAGGGAGAGGCAGGAGTAAAGTAGGACAGCTGACAGGTAAGTGTGCCGTGCTGATGGTGCTGCTGCAACCAGGTATGCTTGCTGCAGCAGCACCATGCTGGAACAGGGGTCAGCAAGTTAAGTGTCATTGGTGTCAGTGGGAGAAATAGTGCCCCATCATTGGTGTCACTGATACTAATGATGGGGCATTATTCCTCCCACTGACACCAATGATGGGGCACTATTTCCTCCCCCCACTGACATCAACGGTGGGGCACTATTCCACCCCCCACTAACACCAACGATGGGGCACTATTCCTTCCCCCACTGACACCAATGATGGGGTACTATTCCTCCCACTGACACCAATGTTGGGACACTATCCCCCCCCCACTGACACCAATGACGGGGCACTATTCCCCCCCACTGACACCAATGACATACTATTCCTCCCACTGACACCAAAGATGGGGCAATATCCTTCCCACTGACACCAATGATGGGACACTATTCCTCCCACTGACACCAATGTGGGGACACTATTCCTCCCACTGACACCAATGTGGGGACACTATCCCCTTCCCCCAATGACACCAATGACGGGGCACTATTCCCTGACACCAATGACGGGGCACTATTCCCCCCCCCCACTGACACTGATGGGGCACTATTCCTCCCCTCCCGACACCAACAATGGGGCACTATTCCTCCCCCCACTGACACTAATGATGGGACACTATTCCTCCCACTGACACCAATGGTGGGGCATGATTCTTCCCACTGACACCAATGATGGGGTATGTTTCTTCCCACTGACACCAATGATGGGGCACGTTTCTTCCCACTGACACCAATGATGGGGCACGTTTCTTCCCACTGACACCAAAGATGGGGCACTATTCCTCCCACTGACATTAATGATGGGGCACGATTCTTCCCACTGACACCAATGATGGGGCACTATTCCTCCCACTGACACCAATGATGGGGCACTATTCCTCCCACTGACACCAACGATGGGGCACTATTTCGCTCCATAAGACACACTTGGGGGGAAATGTCTGTGCGTCTTATGGAGTGGCCGGCTCAGTATTCCCGCTGCCGTTGTATGTCCGAAGTCTCTGGTCATCTCCTGTACTGTGTCCGCATTTGTTCATAGTTTTTTTTTTTTTTAAACTAAAGTCCGGCCCTCCAACAGTCTGAGGGACAGTGAACTGGCCCCCTGTTTAAAAAGTTTGAGGACCCCTGTTATATACAGTACGTACAATGTTTATTTGAAAATTAATCAATCCTGATGTACCGACTGCCTCAATTCTTGAGCCCTAAAATGCCAGGACAGTACAAATATCCCCAAAATGACCCATTTTTGGAAATTAGACAGTCCAATGTATTTAGTTAGAGACTTGGTGAGTTTTTTGAAGTTGTAACATTTTGTTACAATTTTGTGGAAAAAAAATTTTCCACAAAGTTGTCATTTTAAGAATTATTTCTCACAAATATAATTGGCATACTTACAATTACACCTCAAAGCAGATTCTGTTAGTCCTTCTCGGAATGGTGATAGTACATGTGTGAGATTTGTTAACAGCTTAGATGCCCAGAAGAGACCAAAATCCAAGGAGCATATTTGGCCTTTAATTACTCATCTAATTTTCTATCTATCATAATTCTTGAGTCCGTGAAGTGCCAGGACAGAAGAAACACTCACAAATGATCACAGTTTAGAAATCAAACACCCCAAAGTGTTTTCTGAAAGGCACAGTGAGTCTTTTGAAAATGTAATTTTTTGCCAAAAATTCTTGGAAAAGTGGAAAGAAAATGAAAATGTATTTTTGTACACAAATATGTAAATTAATAAGACATTTCTAACACACAACATAGGCATACTTATAATAACACCTCAAAGCACATTCTGATACTCCTCCCCAGTATGAAGACACCACAGCCTAACCAGATAGGCCCAAAATACCAAGGAGCACCATTTAGACTTTCTAGGGGCATAATTTACACATCTAATTTCCTGACTACCCATAACATTTTTGAGGCTCTGGAACATCAGGACAGCAGAAACACTAACAAAAGACCGCATTTTGGAAAGAAAACACCCCAAGGTAGCTTCTAAAAGTCACGGTGAGTCTTCTGAAGACTATTTTTTGTCACAAGTTTTTGGAAAATGCAGAAATACAATGGGGCCTTATGGTGTTACTAGGACTGGTGTGGTGCTGATTGGGGATACTGATCTGGTGACTTTGTACTGCTATGGTGATGATCAGAGACAATGGCTGGCTGTACTGACATACAGTTATATCAGAGTAGCCAGCCATTATACATGAATACCGCCACAGCGGTACAAGACACCATAGTAATACTGCACTTACTCTGATGACAGTATGTAAAAATAATTTATTTTTTTTACATACTGTCACCAGTACAGTATCACTATGGTGACATTGTGGCTATTGATCAGAGACAATAGCTGCCTTGTAGAGGCACAGGTGATGATGGACCTTTTCCCCATATTTTCCTATTAACTCGTTGGGCATCAAGTCTGGGTCACATAAGAGGACTGCCTCTGGGGTAGGTTCTTCTGAGCTATGCTAAGCACCTGTAACAGGGTCACTTTCTTCACACATGGGGTGCCTCTCCTTGTGTCGATTCCATAAATGCCCAGAAACAAGGATGAAGCCGCTGTCAGGAAATACTCGACCTTAAGGCAGGCCACCAACTTTAGATATGGCCGTACACCATGTACACTTGAGCAGTAACTGTCCTCCAATTAACTCTTGTGTCCCCTTGTCAATGTACACTTCCACTGTAATTTGTTGTGATTAGGAGGGACACGAACCTATGCCCACTCCAGACAGACCGCTGTGGAAAGAGTGCTGACAACATCTCCCTCTCTGCTAGAGGCTTTCCCACCTTACACACTTAGCGACAGGCTACTTGACTGGCTATTAGCTTCCATTGCCCCAGGTAACAATTTGCTGTCTTTATATCCTAATGTGTTATTGACCCAAGCAGGAAACTATGTATGGTGCCAGTTGCTTGCATTACACTTCTTTAAAAACTTCATATCAGGCAACAGGCAAAGTTTCAAATTTTTTTAGAGTCCAAACACAAGTAACAGTTCGTCCCTATGGTCCTAGTCCCTAACTCAGGCGTGTGTGCTGCCCCGGCATACCTGCAAAGGTAGCGTCCATCAGTGACGAAGTCCATAGGTAGGCAGAGTACAGCAGCAGGTGTTTTTGGGGAGGACCACAGGTCTCAGCTGTGCCCCTACATGATGGCAAGTTCCTTACAGCAGGCAATCCCAGAAACTGTCAGACAGTCAGACAGTGATTTATCACACCATAAGAGATAATCCCAAGGCATACAGGTACACGCGACTGGCTCCAGACCACTGTCTCTTTTTATATTCATAATATCAGTGGGTAGGATTCAAAAAGATCTGGAAAACACTATTAATCCTAACACTCCCATCCAGGGCAGCACCTGACTAAGCTAAATTGCAACACACTTTTAGGCTGCACTGGCATACAGTGTCATCAGTGCAGCTGTCAATATCTCTGATCAACAGACAGAGTAGTACAAAGTCACCAACTCTGACAAACTATATAAATAAAACCCACCTGTCAGGACCTGGATCACCTGCTAAAGGCACTTTGGATCCCTGAGCAGATGGTTGTAATTCCAGTGTCCACCAGCAGGTGTCTTCCAGCAGCCAGCAGATCCCAGTAATCAATTTTCACCTGATGCTGGCTGCTTGGAGCATTTTTAGGTCTTCCCCTATTAGTGCCTCTCACTCCAGTGCTTTGCTTGCTGCCATATACTGCTAGCTGTGATCCTGATCTTGCTTCTTCCCTGCGCCCTGTTGCCTGCTGCCTCCTTTCTGCTCACCTTGTATCTGATTCCAGTCCTGGTTCCCCCTTCCCATATGTCCCATGCATCTCCAATTTACCCTGTTTATTCATGTTCCACATTTTTGTATAAATCATATATAGTTAGTTGTGAGTTTGGCTTTCTGTTTGTTAGTTATTAGTCAGGTATTCTGTCACTAGATTTTTGGTTCACTTATATTTTTATGTTTGCTGTTTGCTGGTTTGGATGAACTTTGTTGCACTGTAAATAAATCTTACCTAAAGTATACACAGTCTGGTCCCAGTTTTCTGAGTGTAGCCATTCCTGTTGCTGATTCCTGACACCTCCAGTTCAACACATTTTAGGGGACCAAGTACTTAGGACATTTCCTTTCCAACCTTGTCACATAATGTGAGGAGAAAAATGGATGCAAATATTAGGGTCCTTGGAATACTTCTCTCTATCACGTCTCTTAAATTCTCAAATGCACCAGGCTTTGATGGCTTCTCAGGAATTGCATTATAAAAAATATTCCAAGATCCTGTCCCTTCATATGGGCAATCTTTTATAACCATCCCAAAACCTGCTCAAACTTTCATCCCAATTCTTTTATGACATATATTAGTATATTGCTGTAACCAAAGACCATCTTGACACACATAATTATAGGTCCATCTCCCTATTAAAGGTGGACATTTACTGTACAAAATTCTTTACCGTATATTAAACACATTCTGTGCTACCTTCATCCACACGGACCAGGTGGGTTTTATTCTGATGATTAACCTAATGCATCTAATGTATCAGAACTAACTTCAGGGAATGCTACCACTTTTAGATATACCTGCCTTGATGCTATCTGCTGGGCAGGGGCGGACTGACCATTTGGAAACTCGGGCACGGCCGAGGGCCCGGGGTCAGTAGGGGGCCCCATGAGATGCCACTGGTACCTTTTTTCATAGGCTTTTTTGAGTTTGGGCAAGGACACAGGGGCCCCATGATCCCCTATTTCCCGGGGGCCCCATGAGTTGTCAGTCCACCCCTGCTCCTGGGATCACATGAACTACTGTATACCCTGTAAAAATGGCAATTTGAGAAACACTTCCTTTCCTGGCTAAAAGACTTTTGTTGTCACCCTTCTGCCAGTGTCAAATATTTGAATCACTTGTCAACCCCATTTCCAATAAAAAGTTACCCAGCAATGCTTTCCTATTTCCTTGATTCTATTTGTGCTTGCTCTAAAACCCCTGGCCTACCTCATTAGATTAAACATGAGAATCCATGGCCTGCACTAAAGATCCTATAGATACAAGATAAATCACTGATGGACTATTTTTAAAGTTGTTTTAAAGCTGATGTTTTTTTTAATAGAATCTATATTATACTTACCTCCTCTTCTGGGGTACCCTGCCAGTGCTCTTGGCTCCTCCTCTTCTCATTGAGCACCTTCAGGCTTGCTCCTGAGCCAGGCAGTGTGTGTTTATAGACACACACAGCCTGACTCGGCCCAGTCACTCACTCCCTCAGCGGGTTTGGTTATTGGCTTCTGCTGCTCTGAGCCAAGATTGTGAGAGCAGGGAGAAAAGAAAAAACAACACTGTATTGATAAAAGACTCAGCTAAGTATGTAGGGAGGGGTGGCACACAGAAAGTGTGAGAGCAGGGACAAAAGAAAAAACAACACTGTATTGATAAAAGACTCAGCTAAGTATGTAGGGAGGGGTGGCACACAGAAATTGGTAGAACATTTTTTATCATAATACTTTAATGTTAATCCAACCCCTTATATCCCTACCTATTTTATTGTCTACTCTAAACCTGCTTTCTCTATCTTGCCAGTAAACAATGTTGATCGCTGTCAATGTTTCCTTGCCTATTCAGTGTTGGAAACACTTACATCCACTTGAAGCTTTATTTGAGCCAACAAACATTTAAAGTATCTAGGTATTCAATTAATACTCTAATCTATATTCAGCTAATCATGCCCCAACCTTCCCAACCAAGCTGAAAGCCCAAATAATGTCTTGAACATTTCACAATATCTTTTGGATGGGAGAAGTCAATTCAATTAAAATTAATGTTTCCACAAACTCCTGTACCTTTTTTGTACCCTCCCAACTTCTAATTAAATCTATTCTAAATCATGCTATGTCCTTTATATAACACAAAAAAATATCAAGTGTTCCCAGGCAAACTATATACAAGCATCAAGAAGGGCTTATTTTTTTTTAATATTAGCAGGCTGCCCAGGTCACCCTTTTATTGAATTATTTGTGACCAGTGAAGTCCTCTTTGAGTGGAACTTGAAACTTCTCTTTGTCTACCAATAAAAAGAATGAAACTGTAAGCTGCATTATACAGAGCTCAAAATTGAGCACCATGAGTGTCATGTTTCACATGACTGTCATATGCCTTTAAGTGTTCTCTATATTTTGTCTCTGCTACTCCCTTTCCTTTGGTTTAGTTAATGCTGTATAGATAGCCCACCCCCTTCCCAGTAATACATTGCAGCTTCTAACCTCATGTCATGAAGCAGATCACATTATGATCTTTTGACCTATCAGATGTTCATTGTTGTAAGATTCTCTCAGTTTATGGAATAAACTTCACAAGATCTACAAGGTGTCATCCGACTGAGTCACTAACTGTGATATTCAACTAAGATTGGAGTTATCGCTATCTCATCACAACTGTAAGTTACAGAGATCACACTTTCAATGCTTAGATTGGAGAGACAGAACAATGAGCCTTCTGATGAGACCTATCCTGAAAATTTTGTATAGTTTAAAAGAGGTAGTAAACCACTGCAACAATAGAAAAAAAAATAAGGCCCCCTGCAGGTTTAAGTCATATTGTACTAGTATGCACCACCAACTAGCACATTATGACAGACTTACCTGGACATGGATCACTCCAGCACAGCGCTGTCATGGCTCCCTGATACTTCCATCTTCCCCCAGCCTTCCTTCCAGGTTCACGGACTCTTTGCCTTATTATAGACTTACCTTTAGGTACAAGTTAAAAAGAGGACTTTACTTCCACTTTAAGCAATCCAGTAAGCTAATACCACCACATCTCCCCTTACTTCCTGCAAAAGGTAATACACTTTTTGCCCAAGGATTCAAATTTTCAGCCGCTTTTACTTGGTGAATGTCTCATAGCTTTACCTCGTTATTCCGTTCTCAAGAAATTTTTAACCTTACTCAGCCTGCTATCAGGGACACATCTAAAAGACCTTCTTTTGAATTCTTTAGACAGCTCCAACTCAGACAGGATCCCTCTACTACTGACTACTTTCAAAAACATTTGTAATTACACGCCATTATCAACAAAATTAACTCTTCAGTTTTATATATATATATATATATATTATATATAATATTATACCATATATATTTATCTTAACCATTTGCCCTATCCTACCACACACTTGTCACCATGTCACCAAATGGGAGGGTGAGTGGAAGACTGGATACAGGCTTGGTCCAGTCTGAATAGCTACTTGCACTATTACATTACTTCCCACAATCAGCCTTTAGGATCTTAACTAAGTGGTACCTAATACCCTCTAGGATTATGCATATACACCCAGGGCTTTCAAGACCCTGCTTTAGAGGTTGTCAGACTGTGAGGGATGACCTACATACCTGGTGGACATGCTCTGTGCTTAGTTGATTTTGGACTAAGGTCTTCAAGCTATTGAAAAATTATTTAATACTATGATTCCAGAAGAAAAATGACTAGCACTCTTGTGCTTCAAACCCAAAAGCTTACAAAAAATTAATTTACATTAGCCCTTTGTTTTATTAGCTTCAAAACTGATGATAGCTCATGCATGGAAAAAACAATTCACGCAATTTATTGAGGTTGAAAGATGCACTGATGCTTCATTAACTAAAAATTGATTAGTATTCCCACAGATACTCATGATAGGTTCTTTAAGTTGTGGAGCCCATAGATTAAATATTCTTATCCAACACTTTCTATCCTGACAGCCTTGTGAGTAGCCACCATTGGGGCCATGCTCTTTACTCATTCCCTCCTTCTCAATTACCTAATGGTTTTTTCCCTTTCAACTGTCATACTTCTTATTCTCTTCTTCATTTTTTAAGCTTGCACATCTGGGCAGTTGATTCTCATTACCCCTTCCACTCCCTATTTCTTTCTTACAATTACTCTGGTTTTCCAACTTGGCAAATAACCGTAATCTGTTCTGCAGCTAAACTCATGCTCTTGTCTGCATCCCTCCTCTCTTTTCACTTCCATCATCCCCTCCCCTCCCCACCCTGGCTTTTTTCCCTCTTACTGATGCCAGGATATTGGATTCCAAGGTGCTTTAAAGCAGTATTATCCCCCCCCCCCCAAAAAAGAAAAAAAACTATTATCTTGCAGCTTACCCATTCTTAGATTTGGTAGCTGCAGCGCCAGCAAGTCTGATATTTTTAATCCTTCTTTAACAGATAAAGCTGTTTAGCAAAGTTGTAAGGTAAAGTTTTAGGACAAACCATTTAACACTGACAGGGGTGCTTACAATTGTAATTTTTACTAATTTTAAAACCTTTATCCCAAAAGGAAAAAAAATACTCTTACTGTAATTGCTTATAACATGTTAGCTGTAGTTTGGCTTTAATATTTTTATGGAATCCATTTAAATCTGCTATTACATTTAACACTACCCTCTCCCCAGACTGACAATCCTGCTATCCAAAGGTGGCTCTATTGCTCCTCCATCCAGACTGGACACACTCTAAAATAGGAAGTGTGTCACTGGCCAGATCACCAAGTGAAAATAAAAGAAAAAAAGGCCTAAAAAAAAAAAATTAATATAGTTGCCACAAAGGTTGATAAAATATATATATTTTTTTGTTTTCTGGGTTTAATACTGCATTAATTCTTGAAGTTCAACTGTTGAACTTTCAGGTACACTTAAATAGCCAGGATATTCTGCATCTCACATGTGTTCATTTGTTTATTGATATACTGTATTTTATCATTTCTGAGATTTGACTTCTTATAACCAGACAAAAAATATATTTTCTGTTAAAAACATATTTAAAAATATATAAAAAAACTATTGCAATTAAAAATTGGGGATATTCCTCCTATCATTTTCCTAATTTTTGAATTTTTGGTTTTACAAACTGCACACCTCCTAAGTTATTTTTCTCATTCTAAGAATGTCTTTTTTTATTTGTTAAAACTGTGTGCTTTTATATTTTTCAGCATTGGCTCATTTTAACACAATTTTTAGCTGCTCTGTTGATACTTTCCTTAATAATGAGTCTTTTAGGACCACTTGACAATATTTTATTACTATTTTAATAATAGTGTTTTTATCTTCACTGTAAGGCTGAACACAAAGGTAATGTTTATTTTCTACTTCCTTTCTTCTCTTCTCTCTTAATACCATTACCTTCTGATCATTTTTTTTAATCTTTTTAAAACCTGTGACTGTTTAATAAAGATTTCCTCATCTTAACAGCTTCTTTTGTACTGCAGAAATGGACATTTGGAATCTACAAGATCCAAGGTTTATAACGACAGCTATCCACTGCAACAAATGCTCAGCAGTCAGTTTATTTTTCATATGTCGTACTTTTGATAATACCATTTTCTATTCTTTCTACAGCTAGGAAGTTCACTGTGCACAGTGGTGAATGTAATATTTCATCCTCTTGTTCACAGGGTTAGAGAAACTCTTTAAATGTACCTCAGTGCTTTCCCATTTGAAGAGGGGGAAAAAAAGAATACAAAGAATAGGAGATTGTAGTCCAAAGTATTTATTTCAATAAAATAGTTTAGGCAAGCTTTGTGGGTATAAGCTGCATAAACCAGCTGCTGATGAGCATGCCTTTAAATTCCCACTACGCAAACTAAAAATTCTTTTAGCCCTCCATATTAGCACTTCTGCACACAACACAAGCCCTGATGAAAGGGGTAGTTTTGAACCTCCCATACACATTGGACGTAACCACAGATCTTTTCCGAATACTCTTACTGTAGATTCCAATATCTTGCTGTGGTATTC